GCTCGACGTACTATGCGTCACTCACCACCAACGGATACCGGATTTAGGATCATCTGGTATTTAATGTAAATGTACATGTCTTCATGTGCTAAAGGAGAATCAACTATGGGGTATCCGAAACCCTCATACAACATTAGCCCTGGTAGACGCCGAAACCATTCAAATTAATACGCCACCCTGGTCCGCATGTCCTATAACATCATTAGTCATCTTATATGTTAATTGTAGTAAAGGCAGTCTTACCGAAATCTTGCGCTCGATTTCCCGGACAGAACGGTCCAGTTCCGCTGCGATCATCATCTTCGTATCATTAGGCAATAAAAAGTACATCTCGCACAGGTCTCCGTCAATGACACCCTTGACCGGCGCATAGTAACTGCGGTAGATCAGGTGGTCCCGTCCAGCGAGAGGAGGGTGCTGTGCAGCTAACTGCATCTCCAGGTTTTGGAAGAAGTCCACATCCTCTCGGCCGATGAATGGCACCAACATACCAATCGTGCCCTGGAAACCAGTCCAGACGAGGATGTCCCGACCACCTGCCACGAGTTGAGTCTTGTGCAAGCTCGTTGGGATGTCCTGAGTATACACGTGGATCATCAGCTCCAAGCGATTGGGAGTGCCCTGGAGATAGCCGCGTTCGTGAATCAAATGCGCGCCCGATCCATCCTCATCCGCCTCTTCAGACGTCTTTTTCGGGCAACGGAGGAGCCAAAGGTTGCCAAACTTGTCACCACCGGCAGTGGTTTCATAGTCAACCATGGTGGTGGCAGTAGTCCAACGAGACACGGAATCATCCACAAACGGAATCAAGACGTTCTCTTGATACTTGTACACGACATACGTGACACTTTCGCGAACATCGCTAACGACAATTCGAGATCCCTGGGTCTGCAGACCAACGATAGTCTTTGGCACCACGGGCGCCTGACACTTACGAAGGAGCTGTTTCATACCAAGATCATAAATGCGAAGCAACGACCCGATACCAGCAACCAGGCGGCCCTGGAATCCCAGTAGGGCAAGAGGTGGTTCCTCGACCTTGGTCTTGTGGATGAACTCCAGCTCTCTTCCATCCTCCTGGAAGCGGTAAATGTGGATATAGCCACCGGCGGATTTGGGCGGGTTGACAGTCATGTCTTTGGCTGTTCCAACCACCAGGAACGTCTCATCATCCTGGCTGGTGAAAGGGACTGCAGCAATGCTAATCGCCGCCTCATTCTCTTCCAGCTCGATTGTATGAACGACTGCCTTCGCATCCAAGGGATCAACCACCTGAATACAGGACGCCCAATGCCCTGTGGCTCGGGGGTATCCGAAGTCTTCGGGTGGAAGAATAGTTTCGTCACCACCACGAGACTTCGAATCTTCCAGCAGCTTGGCTCTGGTAGAGGGAGACAGAACATTGTTGTCAGATTCAATAACGTAGAACAACGGCTGCTCAGGATGCTTCAGGAAGCGGCGTGGAGTATACGAGAGCGGAATCGACTGTTGCAACATGTTGTTGTCCAGCTTCTCGATAGAGAAAATCCTAGCCACGCATGTTAGCTGATGTCCAGTAGATACCTCAAGGACAAATTATAGTGTGAATGAATGATCTCAGTAGGAACAATTGGAAATAGTACAAGTATAAAAGGTTCTTCCACATAGGCTTTCGGATCCCAGTTCTCATCATACGATCGATTGCAGGTGCAAAGTGGGGGATAAAGACAATAAACGTACCGTAGATTTTGTCCCTGGATACCGACCATGCCCTCCACGCACTGTTCACTTGAAAAGTTCCAGCCCCATTCGAGCCCAACGTAATCGAGTGGAGTAAGCATGAAGCCCTTCGTTTGAACATCAGAATACCCAAGCCAGGGACGCGAGCTCAGGCCCAGCACTGCTGTTTGTCCCTTGACAGACACCTGGAAAAGCTTCACAGCTTTAGACCCAAGAAAACGCGTGCGAGTATCTGAGAGTTCACCGGTGACCTCGTCCAGAACTGTCCGCAGGTAGACACCGGAATACAGACCTATGTGCAAATACAAGGTAGTTCCTCCGGAACTGGAATCAGCCATTGACATGATGTTCAGGGCGGAAGGAGCAGCGGTCAGGGCTTGAACCGACTTGTTCTCCAGAGTAGAGTCAGGGTCCAAGCTGAGAATACGGACAGTCGAGTCGTCGCAGCCGACAGCCAAGAACGAGCTCCGAACGCGACCTTCGGGAACTTCACCCAGGCTGAGACAGGTAACCGTGCCTGACATTTGACGGCGCTCGTCATACTCAGCCAAGGACCCGTCAGAGTCCATCTCAAAGTAGACGATCTCGCCGGAACTGAGAGCAACGGCGACTTGACGCTCGTTGGTTGCGGCTGCGACAATCGACCGATGCTGAGGGGCAGGCCACTCATTCACCCGACGATCTGCGAGAATGTGACGGATACCCCTGGGGTGGATTTGAATCAAAGAGTCCTCGCCGAGCTGCTGAACAGCCAACGTTGGTGCGGTGGATAGGAAACCAGTGTCGGTAACTTCCTCGACGGTCTCGCCAATGCTGAGCACAAGAGTTCCGTTGGCAAAGGAGAGAATGATGTAAGCATCAAACTCATCAGATCTGGTGAGCTTGGTCGTCCAGACCGCAGAAGGCACACTGGGCAACTCTGATTCGACAATTTCGGATACTTCCAAGCCATGCTTGAGCGTCCTAAAACTGCTCCGAGCGCCAGCGCCAGAGATAGTGTAAATTTGAGGCGCATCGTCCTCGGTAATGTTGACCACCTTGCTGTCAATCAATGGGTTGAGGGAGTTGATGGTTTCAACAAGGTTGAGGTTCTCTGCACCTCTTGGCCGGAAATAAATCGGGTCACAAGGGACTGATGGGTCAGCTGAGAAAGCCTCGCTCGTGAATTCAATCTCCTCATCATCGTCACCCAGCTTCTCGAACTGGTAAAAATGATGGTTACCAGCCTCACTGGCAACATAGAGGAAACCACTCTTCAAGATCAACAAGCTCGAGGCCAGCGGAACAGTATCAAAGTACTTGATCTTCAGGCGCTTGACTTCACCCGTGAGCTGACCGTTGTCATCTTCAACCATGTCGATGGTGAGCTTGAAGAGATCGCCGTCTTCAGTCTGAATGAGAAAGAAGAAAGCACCCCTCATCTTGTGCATCACACCGGCCGTGATGGAACGCTTACGCTCCGGGTTCTCAGTGGCACCGCTGCGCCGAGGAATTGGCACTCGGAACGCATCTTGGTTGGAGTGACGGTAGGTAACACTGTCCTCCGCACACACCAACACACCACTGGGACCGTCTGCGCCTCCAGGGACCTGGAAGAGAAGAGAAGCCGTGCGATCGACGGGATCAGACCACTTGCGGACTACATGATTGAGTCCAAGATCCAGCTCATAGTAGACCAGATGCTTCTCCAGCTCCTCGAAAGCCTGGCCAGTGGGGTCCTGATCAGACTCTGAGTAGTCGACCTCAAGCGCTGCGAAGACCGGGTTTTCATACCCGACATCCAACGCCGTCATGGCAAACACCAGTGTCTGTGGTTTGTGGGCTTCAAGCGGGGACGAGATCGTCAGCTCGGCCTGCGAGTTCCGATTCAGGACGTATACAAGCTTGTTCTTCTCGACAGAAGCGATAATACACGCACGGCCCTTGGGATCCACAGCCAAATACTGGCCTGGGATGACACGGCGGACACCCGACTTGCCAAATGTCTCGAGATGAATCCGGTTGAACCGGTTCTGAGACGGCACATACTCAATGATAGTGATGCGTCCCGAATCCGAACCAATGATGATGTAATCTACAGGCATCTTTCAGCACAGTTCTCAATCACCAAGACCCAGTGTCAACGTTGCCGACCGGGAGCACGTCCCAGCACCAAGCGGGGACGATTCGGCAAGGGATCGTGCTGCCCGGGAAGCTTGAAGAATCACTATGATGATCTTGAAAGTCCAGCAGGGAAAGCATAACATACCTTTGCTACTACCGGCCAGTCTGAAGGCTGCCAGCGAGCGGATGATGCCAAAGACATCTTGGGAAAAGAGCGGCGTGACCTTGCCCTGGGTGGGATCGGGACGATGGATCGTGAGCTTCGATCCGGACGCGGTGACAATTTGCTGCTCCTTTGTCCCAGCAAATTGACCGAGAATGGCCTGGGTGATCGCAGTTGGAGGCTGGATCGTCAAGGAGTACATGAACATGTGCGAAGTAGTCGCCATGGTGAACAGACGCGACTCTCACCGAGCCTGGACAGGTGGAGGAGGGGTGTGGTTGGGGGTTGTTTACGACGCGATTGTAGCCAGGATGACACTACAATGCAAGCAGTCCCATTGCTGCCAGTGGAGCAGATGGGGAGAGAGGACTCTCGAAACCGAGTGTCCTCACACAGAGGGAAGGTTGGTGGAGAGGAAAGAAGAGAGAAGCAAGCCAGACAGCGTGTTTCTGCAAGAAAGGAAAGGAAAGGTGAAAATTCCGGTTAGCGAAGAAGGAAATGAGCTTGTGGTTCCGTTTGCCTGGTTTGGCTGCTATCACGTGATAGCTCGATTCTCACTTACACCGTACATACGGCACCTTACACAGCAGCCCGCCGATGTGGGCGGACCGGCGGGGGAAATACCGTTTGGGCGGTACAAGCGTGCTTGGAAGGCGGACGATGCGATTCTGCCCGCTTCCACCTCGCCGGTTACGCTATCATCCGCTAACTCAGCACTGAGGCAACCCCATACCTAGTCAACCTAGTAAGTTAACTAGTTAACTGGCCGACGCTGCCTTACTCTCCCTGCAAGAGGACAACTTCCCCAGTCCATTGTGCATATCTACCCGTCTACCTACTTCCCTTCCTTTGCACCACTTTCTCCTCCCCCCCCCATCCTTTTTCCCCACGACGTCCTTACTTTGATCGACTCTCCTCCGACACCTTTATTGTGTGACGTGATCTGTCTCCTCAGGCTGACTGTCTCCGGACACCCCTCGATCCCCTCCAACCCGTCGCAACCCCAATACAAACCATGGCTGATGATACCGCCGCGGCCGAGGATGCGCAAATCACTTTCAACGTGAAGTCATCCAATGATGCCAAATACACTCTCACTTTGCCATCATCAACCTCCGTCTCTGACCTGAAGGAGAAGTTATCGTCATCAGAATATGCTGATACCCCGGCTGAGCGCCAGCGTCTGATCTACTCGGGCAGAGTCCTCAAAGATAATGAGACCCTGGCAACGTACAAAATCAAGGACGGACACACTATTCACTTGGTGAAGAGTGCGCCCAGCAATGTGCGCCCAGGCGGTGCTGCGTCGACGACATCAACATCCGCACCAGCTGGCGCTGCTCCTACTCCTGCGGCTGCTGGCGTTCCCACGAATCTCGCTGCCGGTACGGGCAATAACCCACTCGCGGGGTTGACGGGGGCCAGATATGCCGGGTTTGCGCAACTGCCAGGTGCGGGAATGTTTGGACCTGATGGCGGGGTAAGTCGTTTGCCTGATCTTGTCCTGACAGACTTCTTGTGCCTTCAACAAACCACTAATACACTGTTTCTAGATGGGCCCTCCTCCTGACACGGAATCCATGCTCAACATGCTCGAAAACCCCCAATTTCAGTCTACGATCAACGAAGCTCTGCAAAACCCCGCTATGATTGACATGATGATCCAGCAGAACCCCATGCTGCGCGAAATGGGTCCTGGCGTGCGGCAGATGATGCAGAGCCCGGAGTTTCGCCGCATGCTCACCGACCCCAACTCGATACGTCAGATGGTACAGATGCAGAGAGCTATGGGTGGCGGGGGCCTTGGTGGAGGAGGCGCATTTCCAGCTCCCGGGGTGACCAACACAACACCCGAGGAAAACAGAGACGCTCAGAACAACACCGGTACTACACCCACTCCTGGCGCCGCGTTCAACCCCTTCATGCCTGCCGGACTTGGTGCTGGAAATCCTTTTGCGGCGCTTTTTGGAGGCAATCCCATGATGGGTAACCCTGCTGCAGGAGCGACGCCGTCGGGCGTCTCCCCCACCGCAGGCGGAACTCAACAGGAAGGTACCGAGAGAGCCGCTGGGGGTGACAACGCTACGGGACAAGGACAGAATCAGCAGGGTTTCCAGAATCCGTTCAACATGTTCATGAACCCAGCGCTCTTTGGTGGCCAGGGTGGTCAGGCGGGTGCGAACCCTTTCAACCCGCAACAGAATCCTTTCCTCCGGGACCCAGCCTTGCTGCAACAATGGATGCAGAACCTGGGTGCTGCGCCGGGAGAAGGCGGCGCGGCTGGCACCAATCCTCTGGCGGCACTCTTTGGTGGTGGATTTGGCAGCCCCCCTCCACAGGATAACCGCCCCCCGGAGGAACGGTATGCGGAGCAGCTTCGTCAACTGAATGATATGGGATTCTTCGAGTTTGAGAGAAATATCGAGGCTCTCCGTCGAGCAGGAGGCAGCGTGCAAGGGGCAGTGGAGTATCTACTGAGCCACCCTTCTTAATCACGTCTTCATCCCGACCGCGATGACTTGCATTATTGTTTATCATTCTTCGAGTTTCCCCAGTTGATTTATAACCCTTATTGACGATGCATTTCTGCGTACGTGTCAATGCGGGATGACCCTTTTTATGTAGCAAATATCCTCACAGCCTAGTTGCACGGCGTTACATTAGCAGGAATTATGACAATTTACAATCGCAAGCGGAAAGTAAAATGTGGACTAGGAGTGAGCGTAGTAGTAATGACATCCAACCATATAAACCTCTTCAGAGGCCAAGGATCTTTCCTAGATATGGCCATTTCCCTTATCTTATCTGTTCTCTGTATTGTCTGTCATGTTCTTAATTTCCCCCTTTATCTACGATTAAAGTTAGCTATTCCTGATCAGTTCCATCATCTAAGTTGTTTTCCTTTCCTGAAATATCTTCATTTCTTTTCATCTAGATATAGTGACCGATAGGAGTTTACTTGCTGTTAACCCGATACCCTAACTGGTGGTCATACTGCCGGACAGTACCACATTGTCGTATTTGCTTCTACAAAGAGTCCTCCTCTCTGATGGATTAATTGGTTCAACTAAACTTACTATAAGCTTAATACAATCATAAGTTTGTTTAGTCTACAAGACGTTGAGCGTATCTCTTAGTGGTTGTCGAAGTCCTCGATTCAATGCCCACAGTGAAGACCGACCGTATGTGACGTGGGTGGTGCAGCTCCGGCAGAGTCGCGCAACTTTAGGTTAGTTTAAAGCCATGGGGTAAAGAATTTCTTGCAGATAGATAGATGCCTTAATCATTAACATCTACCATAAAGTGTCCTGACCATGGGAATAGAAAAAGGAGGCCGGCCTGGAACTGGTTGCGGAATGGCGCTAAACCCCTTGAGGAGGGCAAGGCTTCCGTGCTCTTCTTCACTTCCGAAACAAAGCATCGAGAAACGAACCCCGTCTTCTTCTCCTTCTTCCCCTCTCTTCCTGTTTCATCTCTTCCTGTCCTCCATCCTCCTCCCTCAGTACTCGCGGGTCTAGTTCACTTCATCTGGCATTCAATGCCGTTTCCACTCGTTCGCTCGGCCTGAGTTGTCCTTTTGCTGTCTTCCTCCACCCACCCGCATCTTGAACCGCTGGATCTCCGTTCAATACCTGCTCGTCGGGCTGCATCACCCATCCTCTTTGCCAACTAGCCTGTCCCTTTCCTTCAGTCTTTCGGATATGTTCGTCTTTTGAGCTCTGGCCCGCAATTATATTTCGTACATACTGCTTTTAATATCCCCAAATTATACGAGTTGAGCTCTGAGAGGGAAGATCGGGGCGGTCAGTTGAAAGTTATTGATCTGCATCTGGGATTGTCGGATCCGCCACGTACGAATCAGCTGCCCGCGATCGTGGGTGCATTGCGCAACAGCATCACCGCTTCGGACACCGTGGGCTGAATCCTTCTTCCGCCATCCGATCATGGCGTTGTCTCAATTTTGGCGTCCCCGTCAGTGGACACTATGGCTTCTCTTTGTGTCTTATGCCTATGCGTTCTACGTTCCTGGTAGGTGGTCTACGCCGCGACGTTGCCCGTAGGACTCTTGATGCTTACGCATGACTGCTACTGCCAGGCTATTCGGTCAAGCGCTACAATGACGATGAGCATATTCCCCTCCTTGTGAATAAGATCTTCTCCGACAACACACAACTCCAGTATGCCTACTTTGACCTGCCTTTCGTCTGTCCCCCTAGCGGAAGATCGCATGGTGGCTCCCCCTTTGGTTCCGGACAAAGCGTGTCCCTGAATCTGGGAGAGATCCTTCGCGGCGATCGCATCATGACCTCGGATTTCGAACTTCAGATGGGTAAAAACGTCGAATGCCAAGCGCTCTGCACACAGGAGGTCGGGCGCAAGGATGTCAAATGGGGTCGTCAACTCATCCATGAAGGTTATGTAGCGGAATGGATTGCCGACAATCTGCCTGGAGCGACAAGCTTTGTGACCGTTGACCGTAGTCGCAAATATTATGCTACTGGCTTTAAGCTGGGATTCCAGGAGTTTTCGCCCATCGACGGCAAGCCGCGTTACTACATCAACAACCATTTTACCATTGTCATCCGCTGGCGGTCGGCACCCGAGGGCGGAAAGGTTATTGTTGGATTCGAGATCTACCCGAAGAGCATTCGCGCCGCCGATCATCTGGAGGGCGGCTGCCCCCAACATGTCCACGAGACCCACGAGGGATTGGAGCTATACATTCCCCCGGATACCTCGAAACTGCGTGAAATGTACCCTGGATCTTCGTACATTCCCGAGGATGATGGCGACATTGACGACGGTGCCACCTTGAAGATCCCCTACACCTACTCTGTCTACTTCAAGGAAGAAAATGGTGTCGACTGGTGGAACCGGTGGGACCTCTACTTCAGCAACCAGGATGAGGGCTCTACGACACATTGGCTTGCTATTCTCAACTCGTTGACCATCGCTGGTGTTCTTGGGGTTGCCGTGTACGTTATCTGGGGTCGCACGGTTCAAGGAGACATCAAGGGCCGTGGAGATGGGGCCATGGAGGATGGAAAACTCAAGGTCCGGAAAGCCAAGCCCGAGAGAAAGGGCGATGGACTCTTGGAGCAAGGAGCTGATGTCGAACGGGATGCGGATGTCTCGTCCGATGACGAGGGTCTCGAAGATGTGAGCGGATGGAAACTCCTTCATGGTGATGTCTTCCGTGTGCCACAGTACAGTGGACTGCTTGCACCCCTTGTCGGCTCCGGTATGCAGCTGCTCTTTATGGTGTCGGGACTTTTGCTACTCAGCTGCCTGGGTGTTTTGAACCCGAGTTTCCGTGGCGGTTTCGTCAGCGTTGGTATGGGTCTGTTCGTCTTCGCTGGTCTCTTCTCGGGGTACTTTTCGGGAAGGCTTTACAAGACCTTCGGCGGTACATATTGGCGCAAGAACACTCTCATAGTAAGTCGTCCCTATGGTGTGATAGGACTCTGGCTGACCGATTCAGACTGCGTTATTCTTCCCTGGACTCGCTTTCTGCCTCATCTTCATTCTCAACCTCTTCGTGTGGGCGCAGGCCTCTAGCACTGCCATTCCTTTCGGCACGCTGGTGAGTCTTCTGGCTCTCTGGCTGCTCATCCAAGTGCCGTTGGTGTATGCGGGCAGCTGGTACGGATACGTGCGCACCGCGCCCTGGGAGCATCCGACCAAGACGACCTCCATTGCGCGTCAAATCCCGCCACAGCCATGGTATTTGCACAGCATCAGCGGGACTCTCTTGACCGGCCTGGGTCCATTCGCGGTGCTGTTCATTGAGCTTCTGTTTGTCTTCAAGAACCTGTGGCAGGACAAGAGCGGATACTACTACGTGTTTGGCTTTTTGAGCGCCGTGTCGTCGATCCTGATGGTAACGGTCAGCGAAGTGACAGTCATCGCTACCTACAGCCAACTCTGCGCAGAGAACTACCACTGGTGGTGGCAGAGCTTCCTCACGGGTAGCAGCAGCGCATTCTGGGTGTTTGGCTACTGCGTGTGGTACTTTATCTTTCACCTGCACATCACTGGCTTCGTGTCGAGTCTGCTGTTCTTCAGCTACAGCTTCCTGGCGTGCGCCGTGTATGGTCTCCTGACGGGCACGGTTGGATTCTTGACGGCGTACATGTTCATCCGGCGGATCTACAGGTGAGTCAATGCTTTGTTGCATGTTGCACGTAGGCCGATGCTAACCGAAGCAGTTCCGTCAAAGTTGATTGATCGACTCAAATCAATGGCCGCAGCAGACAAATCCATGGCGCCTCGACCGGATTTCAGTCACGTGGTGTCATCTACCAGCACTGTCCTACATGAGATTGGTTCGCCATATCCAACCGCTGGCAATCCAATCCTTTCTTTGACAGGAAAAATATGTGAATGTCGCGGGCCTTTGGCAGTTGTGGCCTGCGGCCCTGCTGTGTTGGTATATATAAGAAGAGTACATCTGTCATTAGCGAAATCATAGCCGTTGACTTGTTTCCATTGACACTCAAGTGGCAAACTCAGCCAGCCTCAAAATGTAGACCGTCCAAGTCTCTCCGACCATTAGATAAGTAAAACCAAACCCCAAGTTTAACCCGCCAAGCCCATTTCCGCAAGGGACACTGGGCACATGACTGCGCGCATCCAGAGAATATTCGCCAAGCGGTCCCCGACCAGTCCCATCTTTGGGAAACTACTGCCACAGCAACCACTCTTCCTCCACATCAATCTTCACTCATACCACACCCTCCGCCTACCTTAGTAGACAAAGCGTATTCCTTAAAGAGTAGCCTTCTACTACCGGCAGACTCACTATTTTCTTGATATAGAGGTATTAAACTGCTACCTCAGGCGTAAACAACCTAAATCGACAGGCAGTAAAGATTGTGCCTGCACTAAAATAAGACTTCCCTCTATTAGAAGCGCCTTGACCCCATAAGGTAGAGACAGCAGGGTATGGCATAACCGGAGCCTGGCTAGTGTGGAGGAAAGCCTAGCAGGTTGTGGCAGTAACGTACCTTCCCATCTTTGAGACCACCAAGACCACCAACATGGGCGGATGTGCACGCCAAGCCAAGCAGGTGGAATTCCAATTCCAACTTATGTGCAACAAGCACAGCAAGTGTGGACAACTGTACCAGCAGTGGATTGAGATCGGTTCGATACATGCAACTTACTCTTCTACAAACCCCCCCCCCCCCTCCCCCCCTCCTTCCTCCCCAGTGGAAAATCTGAATACTTGCCTGATTGACCTCACTGCGTGGGATGTTGTGGTACATGAAAGCATACATCATACATCATCCATCATCCAGCGAGATTCAAATTCTAGGCAGAAGTCACGTAGCCACTACTTACTACTATGAGAATGATCATCTCGAAATAAGATTCTACATGAAATCTTAGTTATTTACAAAGTAGTTAGAATTGATCATTCGACCCACGGACCCCCCGGAATGCGGGGAAGCTTAGTCCTATTAGCACCATTAGTATGTGATAATAGTAG